TGACCTTGAACTTGGACTCCTTCTGTTCAGGCTCTTGCCTCCCAAGTAGCTGGGACTACAGTGTACACCACCATGCCCAGCTACTGATTTGTTGAACGACTGAATGAATAGATGTTCCTAAAGACTTCATGAGTATCATAGCTGGAAATGATTCTAACCCACTTAAAATTCTTTGATCAGCCAGAAGCAGTGACTCATGCCTCTAATCCTAACTTCTTGGGGGCCTGAAGCAGGTGAATCACAAGTTCAAGGCTAGCCTGGACAATCTAACAAGACCTTGCCTCAAGATACAACAGTTTTGGGGCTGGGGATTTAGCTCAGCGGCATAAGCACCTGCCTTGCAAGCAGGTGGTCATGAGTTTGATCCCCAGTACCGATAAAAAAGAAAAAGACAAAAAAAAAAAAAAAAAGATACAACAGTTTTTGTTCTAATAGGAAAAAGGACAGCTTGGAGTTGGGTGGCCTGCAGGGTGGTGGCTCTGGAGGTAGGCAGCTCCAGTGCCCATGTGAGCCAGTGTCCCTGTCTGCATACCTGGCACCTGAGCTCCCTTTTAATGTCTCCTTCCTCGCTCACTTGATTCCCTCCTTTCCAACCCAGATAAATGAGAGGAAGGAGCAGGCACTGGGATAGATTCCCATGGAGCTCTCGCCCCTCAGCCCCAGGATGAGAGGTCTTGGCTGTCACTTGCAGACAGTGACTAGCACTTCACAAGTACTCAGCAAATATTTACTGAATCCATAGTTGGGCCCCTTTTCTAACAGCCTATTACAATATGAGGAACCAGCATCCTCTCTCACCTTCCTCAATCTTGGCCTTATTTTCTCTAGTAGTGTTCATGATCTATGTGGATTTTTTTTTTTTTGAGAGAGAGTTTTGCTATGTAATTCAGGCTGGCCTTGAAAGCACTGTCACTGTCACCCAGGCAGTGATCCTCCTGCTTCAGCCTCCTCAGTACTGGGACTACAGCCATGCCCCACCATGCCTAGCTGCATGTGGATTTTTACCTGTTACCTCCTTGTGGTGCTGGGGTTGGAACCCAGGGCCTTGTACATGCCGGACCGGTGCTCTGCCCCCGAGCCCCACTTCAGTGCCGCGGTGTGTCTTTGATGTGGCTTCCTGAACAGGCCAGAGATAGGTCTGCAGATTATGGGCGTGTGGGTAGATGTTTCTGCTCTCTAGCCTTAGCTGGCGCATAACACCCTGCTTCTGCAGTCTGGCCTCCAGGGCTGTCCTGAACCTCCTCAACTTGAACCCGCCCCAAATCCCCTCCCCCACACATGCTATTCTTGTCCTCTGACTTTTTGTGTCTGCTATTTCTGTTTTTCTGGAATGTGCCACCCTCTTGAGAACGCCTGTCTTTAAAGACTGGCTAATATGTTAGCCTCTTGGTGACCCAGCCCTACCTACCCCAAGGAGGGCCACTGTTCCCTGGGGACGCAGCTTGCCTGCGCCTAAGCACTTCCTCCCCTGTCCTGCAGGGGGCAGGAGCACAGCCATTTTGCCCGGAGCCTTAGGCTGCACCTGCTGGAGCTGAGCCTCACCCAGCTCTGGTGAGCAGGTCATGAGTATCTCTTCCAACTCTGCACACTCAGTTGTATACTTTAGTGACTTAAAACCAGCCACGGTGGGAATATATGTGCCATGTAAAGTGACAAAGCACTGCCAGTTAATTGGACATCCAAGACAGCCCATCCCTTCCCCCTCTAATTGTAAGCTAAGGGCATTTGGTAAATTGATATCCCAAATATTTTGAATGAGCAAATTGTACCTCAAATTAAAGTCCACTGCTGTTTATGAACCTCTTCTGGCCAAGGCTGACTTAGTTTTCCTCATACCCTTGCCAAGGATTAGGCTCCAGCTGGTGAATTTAGCACCCTGGCTCCTAAGCATCAGGGCAGCAGAATGACTGGGGGCACCGGTGAAAATGCAGATTCCTGGGCCTACCTTTGGCATTTCAGAGTCACTGGAATTTTTACTGGAATTAGAACCAGTTGGGTATGATTCAGGGGCAGCATACCAAAGTAGCTAGACCCTTATGCCAATTCTGTTCCTGCGGTTTATGGGAGTCAGGATAGAGACAATTAAAATGGTTAGCCAATGCCCCTGGGTACCACTGAGCTACATCCCCAGCCCTTTCTAATTCTTCACTAACTTGCCCAGACTAGGTTCAAATTCATGATCCTCCAGTCTTCCAGAGGACTGGGATTACTGATGTGCACCACACCATGTGTTTTGTTTTGTTTTAGACAGGATCTTGCTAAGTTACTAGGTTGCCCAGGCTGGGCTCAAATATGTAATCCTCCTGCCTCAGCTTCCCAAGTAGTGGGAACTACAGGCTTATGCAACTGTGCCCAGTTTCACATTCAGGAGTTTAGCCACACTCCTGCCCACATACCCATCCTTGCTGGAACTCCCTCTAGGCTGTTTTCCCTGTTAAGGGGAGTCCAGTGGCCAGGCTGGGTAGAGATGGGAAGGGTCTGGGTGATGCAGGCACTGCGGGTCTGCAGGAAGAGCCAGCGATTGGGTTCCGTGGAAAGTCCCGAGTAGGAATGCTTCATAATGCATGTCCCCAGTGAGCTCTTAGTTGTGCGAGCTCAGGAGCTTCAGGGACTCACCCGGGAGAGAGTGGCAGCAACAAGTCCTGGGCAGTCGGGCTGAGGTTCTCTTGAGAGTGAGCAGTGGGCTTGGAGAAATGACCCGGAGCGCTAATCCCCAACTGCTCTTCATTTGTTCCCAGCTGACCATGACGCAGCATGGGCAGGATGGGGTTCTGGGGACAGCTTTCAGAGTCAGGGTAGGACGAGGAGTCCAGGCCTCGCTCCAGCTCCTCATGGTCCATCCGGCATGTTCCTCTCTCCTCCATTCAGGGATCTTTAGACACTGGGATGGGATAGAGCCCCTGGAGCCCCAAGGCCTGAGAGCCAGGCTGCTTTCTCTCCAGGAAATGGCCAGTGACGAGCTGAGGGAGTTGAGGAATGCCATGACCCAGGAGGCCATCCGCGAGCACCAGATGGCCAAGACAGGTGGCACCACCACCGACCTCCTGCAGTGCAGCAAGTGCAAGAAGAAGAACTGTACCTACAACCAGGTAGGGGTGCCAGTGCCCATGATTGCAAGGAATAGCAATATGAAAGCCAGCTCCCTTCTCATACACACAGGGAAACTGAGGCCCAGGTAGACAGATTGGCTCTGTAGTTTTGCCCAAGGTGGCAAAGAAGGCAAAAAGGTGGAGAGAATAACAAACCTGGATCTGAACCTTGCTACCCACAGTTGGCTGGCGAAGCCTAAGAGCTGTAGCCCCTCATCCTAGGGGAGAAGATAATCACCCTGACTCAGGGAGCCACAGAAGGCTGTGGAGGGCCTTCTTCCCAAAATCAGAGGAAGAGGTTTCTCTGTTCCTGGGTCGCACATGTGATGGCCTTGGAGCATCATATTCTTGGATTCTAGTTCTCAAACTCTTCATTCCTC